TTCTAATACAGTTGCATAATTGCAACTGTATTAGAATACTTTTAAATGGGACGAGTCGTTCCAATAGTGAAAATAAATCCCCTTTTCAGCACCATACCGTGTTTCCTGAAAATAAAGACAGGGTCTTATTTTCTCCCCACCCCCTTATTATTTTCTTTTGGGCCCCGCCTTGGCCTTATTATTTTTGCGGTGCAGGAGGTGGAGAGCGTGGTCACCTCATGGCTGCTGCTGTGTTGCAATATTTTCGGGGAGGGTTTATTTTAGTGCATGCGCTCAAAAGTCTGATTGGGCTTATTATCCGGGAAGGGCTTATTTTCAGGGAAACAGGGTATGAATATGTTACTGAGAAAGAAATGTGCAAAAATAAAAAAATGCATTCATTGGTTACATAATTATTATTTTTATTACTGTTGTATTTGCAAACGGTCATTAAGCAAGGCAGTTACTGAATGAGGAATAGCTGCACCTCTTTCTGGGCTCTTTACTGCAGAGGTAGCAGATCACTTCCTTGCTTACAAACCTTTGACTGGATTCTCAGGACATCAGCCTAATCCTAGTTTCATGAGCCACAATGTAGGGACTCCTTGATTAGCAGCCATTTGCAAATACAACAGTAAGGAAAAAACAATTCCGACAAATGCATGCACTTAACCAAATTTCTCTGCCTGAAAATAACACACCTTAGAATCAGTATAACACTGGCATTGCTGCAAGCAAGAGCTTTTATCTGAATGGAATGGCACCTGCCAGATATCTTTGCAGCTCCTTTCTCTGTCTCTCGTCTCTCTCTCCCCTTCCCTCCCCCTATCTCTATCACAAAATGTGACCATTTTGCTTCAAAAAGAATAGATTGTAGACGTTAGGCAAGTTAGCAGTGTTGTGGGAGCTTCATCACTTGAGACTTTCAAGAAGAGATCTGACTACCATTTGTCAGAAATGGTGTAGGGTCTCCTGCTTGAGTTGGACTAGACGTCCTAAATTATACAAGCACCAGTACAGTACACAGATTAACAGAATTGGAAGGGACCTTCCCTTCCAATTCTGTTAATCTGTGTACTGTAGTGGTGCTTGTATAATTTACTAAGACCAGACATTCATCTACCATATGGACGAATGTGATGATTTCCCCTATGCGAGTTACAAGATAGATGAAGGTCCTGCAACATGTTTAGTAACCAAGTATCCAATCCCTACAAATCAATAATACAGGTAGTCCTCAGTGGTGGGTTTCAAGATTTTTTAAAACCTCTTCTGTAGGTGTGTCCTGCTTTGTGCAAGTGGCTTGCCGGCCATGTGACTGGATGGGAGTGGCTTGCCGGCCATATGACTGGGTGGGAGTGGCTTGGCAGTCATGTGACTGGGTGGACGTGGCCAACTTGTAAAATGTGGTGAAACTCACTTCCTGACTTTCACTCATTGTTCAGGCCATTCATTCTGAACCTGCGCAATAAAC